ATGCTTACCCATGTGTGAGTGTCCTTCCTTCCTTCTTTCCTTCCTTCTTTCCTTCCTTCCTTCCTTCCTTCCTTCCTTCCTTCCTTCCTTCCTTCCTTCCTTCTTTGATCCCTCTCTCGCACACATTGCCAGACCTCTCCATCATGGCATCAGGGACGCAGGACATGTTTCCTGCATCCCCATCCATCCTAGCTAGTTAGATCAGGCCCTGTTTCTACTCTCTCCTGTCTAGAATGGAGTCCTATAAATAAAGGAACTTGTATTAGTTTGAAATGGTAAAAGAGGCTCCGTGTAACTTTGTTCTCATCAGCACACACACATGCGCAGGCTGGAGAAGCTTCACTGCGTGGTAAAGCCTTGTGCAGTCAGCTAACTTATTAATGATTCCCGGCTATACCAAACCAGAGAATCTAACACTATTCAGGGTTGCCAGCCCCTCCCCCCCTCCTCCTCCTCCTCTTCTTCTTCTTCTGAAACTGATTTACGTAGGAGCCAAATCGCTCCCTCACAACTTTAATGCCAGGAGCGCACAAAGTAGAATCTTTGCTCACAAGACTACACAGCTTAGAGGGAGCATTGGGCATGAACCTTCTTGAATGATCGCCCAGTGCCTCTGATTGGAAGGCTGGGATTGGCTGAATTGGAAGGAACCCTGTCTGGTCCAAACGAGACTCAGCAGTCAGCTATTAGCAATGCAATCTTATGCATCCTTTCTTGGGAGTAAGCACCACCGAACACAGTAGGACTTGCTGCTGAGTAAACATGACTAGGATTTCACTGCCAGTGTGCTGGCTGCTACTGTCGATGGATAACAGAAGAAAAGTCATTCCCCCCGCCCCCCGGTGCAAATGTACTATGTGGATTTTCCCTTTGAATTCGAGTCAGGGCATCCAAAGAGAGGTTTTTAATGTGAACATTCTACCGTTGCCAACCTCCAGGTGCTGCCTGGGTTTTTTCCTGCAACTACACTTGATTTCCGCACTACAGAGATCAGTTCCCCCCCAGAGAAAGCGGCAGCTCCTGACTCTATGGAATTATACCCCGCTGTGGTTCCTCTGCCTTCTCCAGGCTCTGTCCTAAATCTCCAGGAATTTCCCAAGCTGGAGTTTGGCAACCCTCGTGTACTAACGTTGGAATTTTGCGCCCCTTGCTGAGTTCCAGGAGAAAGCAATTGTGTCGTGGATTGTCCTGGCCCGCCCCCTCCTGGTGGTTTTGCAGACTGCACGTCAGTTATGCTAACTCAACTGGATCTCTGCAACCCCCGTTCAGAAAACTTGCCGGGGGGCCGAGTTTTGGGTTCAGAACACCAGACGCGTACTTTTATCCTCAAAAGAATTCTTCCCTTTGCACCTTCCCCAATTAGAAATCTCCTCCCCCATACACACAGACACACACACACACACACACCCTAGAGCTGTTTTAGAGTTGTCAGTGTTCCCCCTAAGCTGAGTGAGTGTGAGCTAGCTCACAGTTTTGTAGCCTCCGGCTCACACATATTTGTCTTAGCTCAAGAAGGACGGCTTCAAAGCAAACTAATTCCTGCAGTAGTAGCCAAATCACTCGCTCACAACTTTAATGCCAGTAGCTCACAAAGTAGAATTGTTGCTCACAGGATTCCACAGCTTAGAGGGATCACTGGTTGTCACCTCTAACATAAGAACATCAGAGAAGCCAATGTTGGATCAGGCCAATGGCCCACCCAGTTCGACACTCTGTGTCACACAGTGCCCAACCCCTCCAGTCCAACACTCTGTGTCACACAGTGGCCAGAAAAACCAGGTGCCCTCAGGAGGTCCACCAGTGGGGCCAGAACTCCAGAAGCCCCTCCCACCGCTTCCCCCCCCCCAAGCACCAAGAATACAGAGCATCCCTTGCCCCAGACTGAGAGTTCCTGTCTATACCTTGGATTGGGAAACACCCCTTGTGGCTAATAGCCCCTGATAGACTTCTGCTCCATGGGTTTCTCCAGTCCCCTCTTGAAGCTGTCTTTGTTTGTAGCACTTCCTACGGCAAAGAATCCCACCTGTTAACGACTCTCTGAGTGAAGAAGGAGAACAGAACAGAGGAGAGGAAAACGGTGTTGCCAGCTCCCCCCCGGCCACCGGGGGGGGGGAGATTTGGGGGTGGAGCTGTGTTAGTTCGAGCCCCACGCTGGTGTGAGCAGCCAGCCTGTTGTCCCCAGCTCATCGTCCACCCAGCGATTTGAAAGCTTCGGCAAGTAGATAAAATGGGAACCACTCCTTAGAGAGGGTGGGCACACCAATCTCCCTTGTGGAAGGGTGTTAGCTGACGGTCGGGACGTCCTGGTCGAGGTTTGGAAAAGGCGAAAGAACTTATCGGCTACAAAAATCCCTGCAGTGGATGTTTCCGGCCAGGAGGTGGCAGTGTGGCGATTGACATACGGGTCCTAAAGCCTGGTCGACAAGCAGCCGTTCGGAAAATGACTGAGCCAAGCCAGAAGACGTCTACACCGGGCAGTGACGGCGTGTGCAATTAAATGAATATATGT